ACACGCACAGGCGTGCGCGTGTGTGTGTGCTTGTGGGCGCACGCACACGCACAGGCGTGCGCGTGTGTGTGTGCTTGTGGGCGCACGCACACGCACAGGCGTGCGCGTGTGTGTGTGCTTGTGGGCGCACGCACACGCACAGGCGTGCGCGTGTGTGTGTGCTTGTGGGCGCACGCACACGCACAGGCGTGCGCGTGTGTGTGTGCTTGTGGGCGCACGCACACGCACAGGCGTGCGCGTGTGTGTGTGCTTGTGGGCGCACGCACACGCACAGGCGTGCGCGTGTGTGTGTGCTTGTGGGCGCACGCACAAGCGCGTGCCTGTGTCATGCGCGCACAAGCGCCTTTACGTGCGTGTGCATGTCTCTGTGTTTAGGTGTCTGTGTGTATGTGTGCATGTCATTGTGTTGTCTCTATGTGGGTGTGCACATATGTAGATAGCAGTGTGTGTGTATCTTAAGACTCTGCTTCCCAATCACTGATGCCCGTCCCAATTTTTTTTTAAACATCAATCTCACTGTTTCATTTGCCACTCTCTGGTAACTTGATGGGGAATTGCCACTGAAATAACTCCATAGAGGCCAGTATCCCATCTCCGACTCACCCTTTATTTATATACGTATAGTACTTGACACTGGTGTGGCTTCCTCAGAGCCAGCTCTCAGAGTGAGCAGAATCTCTGACTCTCCTGTTCTTATCTGTCAGCCAGGGCTCCCTGATTGAACCAGGTTAACAGCCCCAATCAGGGAACTCCTATTCTGTGCAGTCCACCTGGCTGACCTTGTTACAATCATTACAGTAACGCTGGGTATTCTGCTGATCCAGGGGCTTGGTGTTTTTTGTGTAGTGACTCTGTGATGACCGAGTCTAACCTGGGAGCCCTGACCAGCAGTGCTGCAGTGTCGGGCAGAGCATGAATTCAGTAACCGTGCCTGCTATATATTTACCGGAGCATAGGAATAGGCTGTGGGAACACTGTGGTGTAGCTTACCATCACTGTAATTGAATTTTAAACAGAAATACAACCTAATTTAACCTAGACTGGTATTGAATGTGCCACATGGCTAGAGCCTATTTGCTGATTCCACCTGACCAGTCTGACCCTCTCTGAAACCATTCAACATTCTTTTCGCACTCCTGTCCTTATCCCTATTCTCCTTTTTTTAAAGCACCACCAAGTAGTGCCCCGGTCTCCCCACTGTCTGGATGAAGATATTTCTCCTGAATTTCCATTTAGATTTGTTAGTGACTCCCTGTCTCATTTTGAATGCCCATGGTTTCAGATTCTCCCAGAAATGGAAACGTCATCTCTAGGTCTGCACCCCCCCACCACCTCGTGGAAACATCTTCTCTACATCTCCTCCCATGGAAACATCTTCTCTACGTTCCCCATCCCCCTCGCCCCCACCATGGAAACATCTCCTCTATGATTTCCCCACACCCACCCCACACTATGGAAACAACTTCTCTGCATCTCCCCACACCCTTACTGTGAACACTTCTGAGTGACCCCTTGCCTTTTCCGAAAGGGGAAGTGTGCACCAGTCTGTCCAAAACAGCCCAAGGATGTCACTTTCTGTTTGGTGTACTGTACCATCAGACTACAGACGGTCCTCAGTATCAGCCTGTAGTCCTGTTGATGGTTAGACAGTTTGTGCACCAGGCTGTCCCGGTGAATGGGGAGGGGTGGCGGTGGTGGTGGTGTCTAGGTGGGACAGGGGGTTCACTGGAGGACATTGGAAGGAGCACGGCTCCCAGTTGGTGCCCTGGTGTTGATGTTGCCTGTGGATTGATGAGCAGCTGGAAGACAACCGAGTGGAGTGCGTGCTCAGTGACGTGTGGGAGAGGGCAGCAGACCAGGTCCGTGTTCTGTACCTTGTCGAAGCCGGGTCAAGGGGAGATGGTTCGGGATGACTCAGAGTGTGCTGCAGTGACAGCGAAGCCCCTCACACACCAGGCCTGCAACCTGCTGCAGTGTGCCAGCTGGAGGACCACTGACTGGACTGAGGTAAGGCTCAGGAACGGGCATCGGTTCACTCGCCCGTTTGTCTCGGCTCCCTGCGTTAGTGTTTAAAGTTTTAGCAAAGATCTATAGCTCGGGCTGTAGATGAGGTTGTTGACTTGCTCGCCGAGCTGGCTTGTTCTCGTTCAGACATTTCGTCGCCATGTGTGAGGCGTCCGACAAAACGATGGCAGCCTACAACCCAATGGCCTCAATGTGGACTTTACTAGTTTCAAGATCTCCCCACTCCCGGCCTCATCCCATGACCAACCCTCCCTCTCTTCCCCGCCTCCTTGACCTGTCTTTCTCTCCCACCCATCTGCTCCGCCCACCTCACTGACCAATCCCCACCACTGCCTACCTATCGCCATCCCACCTACCTTTCCCAGCCCCTAATTATTTCTGAGCTCCCTTCCCCCTCCCCATTTCTGAAGAAGGGTCCCGACCCGAAACATCAGCTTTCCTGCTCCTCTGATGCTGCCTGGCCTGCTGTGCTCCTCCAGCTCCACACCTTGTTATTCTCAGACTCCAGCATCGGCAGTTCTTACCATCTCCAAAGAAACGTTGTTCTTCTGCTCCGCTTGGAATTTATACTGTCCAGCCGTTATGGTGAGTAGTGTCATTAATGTCACCACGACGGACCAGGCAGTATAAATTCCAAGCGGAGTAGAATAACATCATTTCATCGGAGGCCTCATTGATGATGTCACCTAGCATGGTGACGAAACGTCTGAACGAGAACAAGCCAGCTCAGCGAGCAAGTCAACAATCTCACCCTGCATTAGTGTGTTTGTAAATCAAACCCCACTGTTCTACACACACACATACACTCTTTCTCCCCCTCCCCCCCCCCCCCCGCTCTGTCACTGTCTCTCTCTCTCTCTCTCTCTGTGTCCACCCCCTGTCACTGTCTCTCTCTCTCCTGCCCCCGCCTCTGTCACTGTCTGTCTCTCTCTCTCTCTCTTCCCCCTCTGTCACTCTCTCTCTCTCTCTGTCTTTCCCCCCCACTCTGTCACTGTCTCTCTCTCTCTCTCGGCCTATATGTAAGAATAAAGGCGCAACGTTCCGAGCAGCCTGCCTGTAGTTTTGTTACTGGTGTTGATTTGTCATTGCATGGTGTGTTGCAGTGTTCGGTATCATGTGGTGAGGGTGTCCAGATTAGGTCAGTCTCCTGCGTCATGGAGTCGGGCAGCCAGCTTCCAGACTTTGCCTGCCTGGCTCAGACGAAGCCGTCCGTGGTCCGAGCTTGTCTTCTCAAATCCTGCACAGATGTCTTCTCATGGTACATTGGGGCTTGGAGCACGGTGAGTGCCAGCTCCCTTCCTGCCCTCCCTTCCTTCCCTCCCTTTCCTCCCTCCGTCCCTCCCTCCATCGTTCCTTCCCTCCCTCCATCGTTCCTTCCTTCCCTCCCTCCATCGTTCCTTCCTTCCCTCCCTCCCTCCCTCTCTCCTTCCTTCCTTCCTCCCTCCCTCCCTCCTTCCTTCCTTCCTTAGGGGGAGGCAATGGCCTAGTGGTATTATTGCTGACCCAGAGACCAGAGGTAATGTTCTGGGGACCCAAGTTCAAATCCTGCCACAGCAGATGGTGGAGTTTGAATTCAATAAATATCTGGAATTGAGAATCTGATGATGACCATGAATCCATTGCTGATTGTTGAAAAAACCCATCTGGTTCACTGATGTCCTTCAGGGAGGGGAACTACCATCTTTACCTGGTCTGGCCTACATGTGACTCCAGGCCCACAGCAATGTGTCTGACTCTTAATTGCCCTCTGGGCAATAAGGGATGGGCAATAAGTGCTGTCTAGCCAGTGATGCCCTCATCCCGTGAATGAATTTAAAAAAAGACCAGGTAAGGATGGCAGTTTGCTTCCCAAAAGGACGTTAGTAAACCAGATAAGATTTTACAACAATTATGTAGTGTTTCTATGGGTGGGATGTTGCTTACGGGAGATGGTACTTATGGTGGTGGTGGGGCGGGGGTGGATTCCCAACAGGAGACGGTGTCTTTGGTGGTTGGGTAGGGGGGGGACCCGACAAAAGACAGTGTCTGTGTTGGTTGGGGAGGGGTGGGTGGCACGGCAAGGTGGAAGTCCCTGACAGGAGACAAAGTCTATGGCAGGAGGGACATGTCCTCAATAAGAAACTGTGTCCATGGTGGGGGTGGTGGGGGTGGGGGTG